CCCAAATTTTATCAGCTTTTATCAAAATTTGCTAAAAATTTAATTTTAATCTTGATTAAAATTATGTCTTAGTTCTATGACTCAGCCAACATGGTGGGCCAAGCAGGCGACCCGACACCAAGTCACGGGTCCTGACAGGTTCTTCAAGTCTGGATGGACCAAGTCCTTTCCCGAGAATTCTTCGTCTTATTTTAAATCTCGTTTTCATTTATTACAAATATACAGTAATCGGACCTTTGACTTAAAAATTGATATTGATAGATAAAGATTTAAAATGAATACTAGGGGTAAGCAAAATATACAGTAATCGGACCTTTGACTTAAAAATTGATATTGATAGATAAAGATTTAAAATGAATACTAGGGGTAAGCAACGTGCAATGCACGTTTGCTTAATTTATATTTAATAATTTTGTTATTAATGAAGATGTAATTTTGGTTAATTAAATAAACGAAAATAAAACCACCTAAAATTTAATTGACTTCATTGAGAACTTTGTCTAACTCAACCAATCAATTCTAAACTTAGACCAAGCTTGTCACCACACTGGAATTAAGCAAAGAATGAGATAACTAAACCAATCAATTCTCAAGGACCATCCAAATCAACGGAGATATTGACAAATCGCAACGATTTCATTAGGCATTCAATAGAATGTTCTTCTGCAATGGAAAAGTGAGTTCTAAAGGTGAAAATTCAGCGTTACAATTTTAACATTGCAGCATTGGCGTTTTGTTGCAACACAAATTTGAATCCATGGACAAAATATTAACTACTTTTATGTTCAAAATTCTCATTAGAAACCTGTGTTTCAACAGTGTTTGATTAAACATAAAAGACAAATAGAAAGTTACAGTGAAGATTCAATACAAAATATTATGCCGATCCATTCTTGATTTCATTAGTCACCAATCTTGAATCTCAAAATTTAAATATTTCTTTGCGTTAATACAAAGAGAGCATTGTATACCTACAAAAATTAAAAGGTAATATTTATAATCTAGGGGCCGTTTCTAAAACAAAAGATATGAAGGCTAATAATTTACCCAAGTATTCCATTTCCTTGAGATTTGATCTCATCTCGAGGTTCACATCTTTGTCTTCATCAAGAATTTAGGTGCACACATGAATACAAAAATAAACAAATCGAATTGGCAACTATATCTTGATGCTACTATAAGTTGAGTACCTAAAATGTGTCAGTCAACAGACCACCAAAGAAGATTTAGCAGCCAATTAACTATACATCAGAAGATGTAGTTCCAAAGAGAATATGTCAAATTGTAACTTGTTTAGTGATTGTTTCAACTCTTTAATCTTCTGTCAAGGCAGTTCACCTCTTGAAAAGTCGAAGACCTCTTCACTTAGAAGTTGACAATTAACAACACTGTGAACTGCATGTACTTTATTAAAAAAAATAATCAGGGAGAGATGGAACTATTGACTTACTTTCAGTATAGCCATGCAATTCTCTCAAATAATTTCACTTGTTTTTGCAGCTGCAACCAAGTCTGGAACAAAATTTTGCCACCTGGCTCGCCACTCGTGCAACTGAAAGCCCCATTAGTGAGCATATTTTGGGAAACGAAACTACATTACCCGGACCAATGAAGTATTGAGCTTGTTGACAAACAGACTTTCCCGCCGAAAAGAGATCTCGTCAATCAAGCAAAGGAAAAAATTCAGAATCATGCTCGTTAGAAAATATACAACAAAGAGAGCATATCATTCAATTTTCCCCACCAAAAGGAGGGGATCATACCTTACCTATGACTTCCGAAATATAGTTTTTCATGCCATCCCATTGTTCAACAGGCAGAGCATGCCAT